AGCAAGCAGTTAGATTTCACTTCAACAGTTGACACTTTTCTTCTTCTTATGCAGTCCTCAGGTGCGAGGGTAACTTGTCTCCATTCTAGCCAAATGGATTTCGAGACGTCGGCCATTGCGAGACCAACAGATTCTGCCACATGCTGGGCATGTAGTGCCTGGAGGTTGTGTACTCCCTCTAACACCTTGACTTCCCCCTTGCAGGTTCCTGCCAAAGTCTCTCAATTTGTTTAGGTTCCTTTTCCAGATGAGCCTTCTCCATTTGATCAGTTAGAAACCAGGACTGGGTGATCTCTTCATAGATGGTCGAGGGCCACCTGAAAGCATTTTCACGATCCTCCTGGGAGTGTCACACTGCGTTGAAGTTTTGAATGGAGTAGTTGTTTTAGGAGTCCGGTATCAAGCATATGAACTACAACAGCGGAGCTGGTTTTGAGTTATTATCGCCTTGATCTTAAGCATGTTGTCTTGGGAGAGGACACTGGTATTGGAGGGCTGCTCTTGCCATGAGATTTGGAGGAATGAGAGAGAGCACTGTTGGTTCTACTTCTCCAGTCCATTGAAGTGCTTACTGCCCGGTTAACTACAACCTTATTCTCAGCTTGATACACAAAGAAACGTTTCACATAATTAAAAGTACTGACATTAATTGCTGCACAAACATGGCACCAAGTGAAATCTCACAGTCTTTCCAAATATTATGTAAGATCCCTCACTTTGTACTCAATTGTTTCAGCCTTAAGTTGTCTTCACCAAAAGCCATTTTCCATCTGAAATCCCTGGACACAGTTAACACTGAGTAGGTACACATCCATGAAGCATCGCTCTATCAGGTCATAATAATCATGACGGCAAAGGATTCTCAGAGACCATCTTCTTCAACTCCTTTAAACAGCCTTTTGGGCTCTGGCAATGTTGATATAGCATCAATGAGTCTTGCCAAATTCACAATCCTTCACACTTCCAGTCTTCGGATCTTGGCTCTTCCCAAGTGTTTCCAATTATTTTATTAGGTTAGCACAGATGCAGTGAGGAGGACATAGCCATGGGGTGATGGTAGGTCTGGGTGGAGGACAGCATGGCAGCTCAGGCATCAGACAGGAGCCAGGAGGGGGTAGTCTAGCGATGGGGGCAAGCTTAACAAACCAGGGAGCAACATGCATCACTTTCTTAAAAATCCAATCAAGCACTTGAGGGATCCGTTGCGTAAAGTTTCCCTTAGGTTCACTTCAGATGAAAGCCAGTGGTGCAATATGAAATGGATGGGCATTGATACTGTGCCCAGTTTAAGTATATTGAACGTTTCAGTGAAGTTCCAGTACATTTTGTGCAATGGTACCATTGGTACTCGAAAATTTCGCACCAAAATGTAGAGCAGTCTCAGGCAATCCCCCATCTGCACAACCGACCGATCAAAATGGAAAATATCTGAGATACGCAGCAAATAACCTGACAGAATGCTGCACTGTGTGAGGATCTGCCTTTAGAATGAAACATGAAGCTGAAGCCCTCCTCTTAGAGTGACGTAAAATCCCCACACATGATTTTGAAAAAGAGCAGAGGTGTTCTCCGCTGACGGATATTATCCTGCAACACACGATCTGGTCACAATCTTGTGGTGTTGTTACATTTTCCTCAGGACAAATAGGTCGCCATACTTCCCTGCGTCACAGCAAAGCCTACAATATCAAACATGCTTCACTGGTGCTAAAGCACTTTGGAACATTCTGTGGACACGAAAACAAAAATGCAATAAAGAAGCAAGTTCCCCTGAAGTAAACTCAGTTCAACCCCAGGATGTTAATGTTTTAGTCAATCTTTGCATTTACATACCAGAGACTACATTCTGGTAGTCGCAGAGGAAATGGAAGTTAAAACATTCCATCTCAGCTATCTAGTGATTATCTATGTCTACACTTCTTCCCACAACCTTCAATGCTTCTATTAACCGACCATTCATCACACGCAGTTACAAATACGTTCAAGTTGCAGCTTTACTTGGCTTTTCAAATTCGTACAAGTCTTTTTGCTTTGCAGTCACAGCTAAATACAATATCATCATGCTCTTTAGCATTCTTTATAACAAGGTGTGTTTACTTGGCATCTTAAATATAGAAAATAAAAACATGCTATACCGGGAGAAAAACACAGAGGAAAGTTGGGCATGCACAACAAAAAAATTGGACAACGAAATAAGTTTTGAAAAAGTTTTCAAAGAAAAATGGAGAACTAGAGAGATTTAGGGTTGAGATTGTTGAAAACTCTGTCCCTAAGGAAAGGGGTATCACACAAGAGATTAGAGCTGGAAGAACAGCAGGATGTCGGAATAGAGGAAGTTACAGAGCTGGTGGGGAGCAAAACCAAAACATTTGAGGAAGAATGGCAGTGATAGATATGAGGAAGGTGATGGCTGCATTTGGGAGGGTGTCCATGGGAAGTCGGTCATCAAATCTACAGATGACAAAGGCAGGGAGAAGGCTGCTCACTGATAGTTTGGGGACAGTGTGGTTGATGATGCACAGACCACAATTTTTGGGAATTTGAGGCCCTATTCTAGAAAGAATGAAATGTCATATTTAACACGGCTGCATTCAGTCTGAAGTGAGAAACCATAGAGGTGATGGAATCAGTGGACTGAAAAATGGGGCTTCCATCGCCTGTTAGATGAAATATTAACTATTTGCTGTCCAACAGACAATTTGACAACACTGAAGGGGCTGTGGATTTTAAGATGGTACTGAGAGGCAACAGATGAAGCACAGGGGGGCAAATATAGATTCTTGGAAAATGCCAGAAGTGAGTAATCAGCATTGGGATACAAAGTCATTGTTGCATTGGAACAGAGAGGCATGCATGGAAAATGTAAAGAGTTGGACAGCAGCAGTAAAACAACAAAGGAAAATGGTGTGCTTACAAGTATCAAAAGCCACAAAGGAGCCCAAGAAGTAATTTGCACACTGTTTGCAGTTACAGAAGATTTCTTTTGGGAATGTTTTAATTTCTTTCAGGGGATGTGGGCCTTGCTGTTGAGAATTTATTGCCCAGGAGAACATGTAAGTGGAATTTTTCCCATGGATCTGCTACACTTGTCTTTCTAGTTGGTTCAGGCTGTTGGAAAGTGCAATCAAATTTGCTGCATTGCATCTCATACACACTGCTGCTCGTGTGCATTGGTAGTGGAGAAAGTCAAGGCTTAAGGTGGGAAATGGGGCGCCAGTGAAGTGGGCTGCTTTGTGCCCTCGGCAGTGTCAATCTTCTTGAGTGTTGTTGGAGCTGCACCCAACTAGGCAAACAGGGAGTGTTCCACCATACCCCTGGCTTGAGCCTTGTAGAAGGTGCTCAGGTTCTGGGGAGTCAGGAGGTGAGTTACATGCTGCAAAATTCCTAGCCTCTGCTTTGGTCTTATAGCCACAGTATTTATACGGTTAGTCCAGTTCAGTTTCTGGTAACCGCTGGACGTTCAGTACCCGAGGAGTTGCGAATGTTGCTGAACACTGTTGATGATGGCACAAACACCCAACTTCAGACCTTATGATGGCTGGATGGTCATTGATGAAGCAGCTGAAGTTGGTTGGGCCTGGGATACTACCCTGAGGAACAGCTGCAGTGGTGCCCTATGGCTGAGATGATTGACCAACTTGGCACTTTATTTTTAGGTATGCCTGGTGTACTCATAGCATGGCCTTTTTTGCCATGCAGCGAAGCCGGGTTGAAAAGCCAGCTTGATGGCATTCTTAGAGTTGGATATAGGCCAGGCCATGAGGTTACATATTGTGTTTAAATACCGTTCTGCTGATGGCCTATAGGGAATCATAGGTACTCCGTTCTGAGTTCCAAAATCTTTTCAAAATCTATCCCATTTAGTACGATGACAAGTGCCACGCAACCGAATGGAAAGCATCCTCAATTTGAAGACAGGATTTGGCATTGACAATGTATGTGCAATGATAGATGCATCTGCAGACGGCAGATTGCTGAGAACAAGGTCACATAGATCTTTCTCTCTTGATTCTCTCATCACTGGCCACAAATTACGTTTGACTGGAAATGACTTATAATTTTGGTGGGATTATTAGTGTGCGGAAGTGAAACATTTTCCCGATTTCAAGGCACCCCTTGTCAGTACTGGCCACTCCAGGACAGGTAGGGCACAGACCGAAACTCCCACAAACTGCTCCATAACTGACCTCCATTTCTTAAGGGGCTGACTACTTAACCCCAAATTAAGGGGAAAGACTATGTTGTGACTGTCTCAAACCCACTTCAACCGTCGGGCATGTGGGTGAGCTCAGTCATGCTCAGTTCCCGGGGTGAGACATGCGTTAGCTTCTTCCTTCGTCTCAAATGATTTTGTTCCCTGCTTTGGGTGCTCTGCAGAATGAGAAACTCTCGCATTTTTAACAGGTTTGAGAAATTTCTGTGAAGCTGCCCGAACACAATTCACAAACTTAAGTTTAGCTCACGTCATAAGTTGAATCTAGAAAGCTACACCCTACACCCTCGCAATGAGGAAAGGGGCCAGTAAGAGGGACCGACAAAGTGACACAAAAACAGAAGTTGCAGGAAAAGCTCAGCAGGTCTGGCAGCATCTGTGAAGGAAAGATGACCCTTCCTGAGAAATGACAAAGTGATGCTTGAGGTTCTGAGTTCTCTCCAAAGCATAGCAATCATAATTTACCTCCATGGGTTTTGTTTTCACCAGAATATCAGGAAGCATTGATCAAAAAAAGTCAACTGAACTATCAGTCAGGTACAAACTAACCTCCAAAGGACAATCTCCTCCTTACTTAATGATGTTGTTTGCCGTTGGGAAGTTCTGCATCATTTCACCAGGGCAATCAAGATAGCTTCAAGAATACCAATCGTGTCTACTGCATTAACCCAACCACTTTCCTTATTATGAGAGCACCTCTGTATTTCATTACGAAACGTGGGAGATTACTTCTGAGACAAGAGTGAATTGAACTAAGCTCAAGAAGAAAGGAACAGTTAAATCTTACCTTTCAGTGTCTGGTGACTGAATAGGTTCCGTCCTGTGGTTATTCACGAAGTTTAAGAGGTGGAATGAAGTGGAATTGGAAAGCGGGTAAATTGAGTCCGTCAGCAGGCTGTAGCTAAATCTCTCCTCACCTCCAGTGTTTATCCCGGGCTCCGAGCCCACATGAATCTGTTCAAGTACGCTGCCCTGATTGGGTTCTTCAAGTTGCTGGCTGCCTCCTCCTGGGTTTGAGTAACTAGTGAAGTTCTCAGTCCTGAGCTTGGCCGATACGTTAGCCTGAATCCCCACGCACAAGATGGACAGAGCTGCGTTCAGGGAGCTGTTCCTGCACAGCGCTCTCAGACTGCTCTGCTGAGAACTGCTTCGAAAGTTACTGTGCAAACGGGGGCGGTGCAAAGTGCTTGTGGTGTTCCACGGTGTTGGGCTCAAACTGATTACGTTGGACTGAAGGGCTGAGAGAGAAACATTGGGTCAGAATTGTCTTCATTATAGACGAACCAAATCCTTGAACACTTTCAAGGGTCATACAGAAATAACACAGGAGCAGGAGTAAGTCATTTAGCCCCGTAACCATATTCCTCCATTCTATTATACGTAGCTTATCTATATCTTAACTCGACCACCAACAGTGGTGGTGTTATTCATCAGGCTCTGTTATTTTGTGCAACAGGTCTTTGGGACATGGTGGGCAGAACCTAACTATAGGACTCTTCGACTTCCACAGACAGCACACAAGATAATGTGTTCCACAACATTGTGGGACAGTGACATCACAGTGATATCACTGCAGTGATCCAAAGGCCCGATGCTGGTAGTGTCTATACTTCTGAGCCAGAAGACCTGGGTTCAAGTCCCACCTGTTCCAGAAGAGTGTAATAATATCTCTGAACAGGTTGATTAGAAAAATATCTCCAGGGGCCCAGGCAAACTCCTCAGGGGACATGGATTCAAACCCCATTATAAAATTGTGTGAAATTTATATTCAATTCAATACAAGGATAGCTTCGTGGTTAATCTCACTAAGACTACCATTGCTCGTTAAATCCTGACTAACAGTTTCATTTCTTTTTAAGTCTTTTGTGGGATGTGGGTATCGCTAAATGAGCCGACATTTGGCCCACCAAAGAACTGCCCCCGGAGGACAGTTAAGAGTCAAGCACATTGCTGTGGGTTTGACGTAAAATGTAGGCCAGACTGGGTAAGAATGGCAGATTTCCTTCCTGAAAGATGAACGGGGGAAAAAAAAAAGATTTTTACTGAATTCAAATTTCCACCATTTGCCATTGTGCCACTTCCCCAGAACATTATCTTGTTCTAGATTAGCATTCCTGTGACGTCACCACCATGTCACAGCCATACACCCACCTCCTCCCACTACTGTTGACTCCCAATTGGCCTCTGAGATGGCCAAGCAAGCCACTCAATTCAAAGGCAATTAAGATGAGCAACAAATGTTCACTTTGCTAGCAGCACCCACATCTCATCAAAAGAATGTGAGTAGCGATACTCCCACACATTGTTCATTCGGACAGAGAAATATTCACAAATTTATGGCTATACATCCAAGTATCTTCTCCAACTGAGCAAAACTATCATGCGCCTTTTTAAAGTGATACAAGCTTCAGGCCAAACTGACATATTTCAATAGTCCACTAGATTAGAGTCACCAATGAACCTTTGCAGATTGTATAACCTGGCTGCACTTTTAAAGACTGCTGAGGCTCATAAAGTAACCACACACCATGGCACAGCCTGCTAACTCAAACTGTTTGATTGACCTACGCTGCCCAAATTGCTCAAGCTGCAGAGTCGGCGCGACAGACGCGAGCCACTTAAATTGATGATCTTGCTGCCCAGCCGCCCCCTCCTGAGCTGGCTCGCTATTACTGCAGTCCCCTGCACAACCCTGCTTCTTGGACTGGCCCTTCTCTTCCCATCACCCGCCTGGCATTGCTCCCATCTATTCTGCCCAGATGAGCAATTCCCCTTTAACAGCAATGCATTTATGTGGCAACTCTGACATAATGAAATGCCCCAGGAGCATTTTAAAGCAAAGTCACATAAGAAGATGAGTACAGCAGGTCAGAAGCTAACAATACTGCAGGGAGTAACTCACCACCTGACTCCTCAAAGCCTGTCCACCATCGACAAGGCACAAGTCAGGAGTGTGATGGAATACTCCCCACTTGCATGGATGGATGCAACCCCAACAACACTCAAGAAGCTTGACACCATCCAGGACAAAGCAGCCCGCTTGATTCGCACTACACCCACAAACATTCACTCCCTCCACCACGCTCAGTAGCAGCAGTGTTTACTATCTACAAGACCTACCACAGAAATTCACCAGAGATCCTCAGACAGCACCTTCCAAACCCACGACCACCTCCACCTAGAAGGACAAGGGCAGCAGACATGTGGGAACACCACCACCTCCAAGTTCCCCTCCAAGCCACTCACCAGCCTGACTTGGAACTGTATTACCACTCCTTCATGGTCACTGGGTCAAAATCCCAGAATTCCCTCCTTAATGGCATTGTTGGTCAACTCACAGCAAGTGAACTGCAGTGGTTCAAGAAGGCAGCTCACCAGCACCTTCTCAAGGCCAACTAGGGATGGGCAAGAAATGCTGGTCAGCCAACGACGCCCACATCCCACACGTTCAAGTGACCAAAAGCCTGGACAAAGACAAGAGGTTTTAAAGGGAGGAAAGCGAGGTAAGTGAAATGGAGGGGTGTGGGGACCAGGTTAACTGAAGACACAGCCACAATTGCACAACAATTAAAATCCACATGTATGATAGGCAGCTATCTCAGGAGGTTTATGGCACTAGAGATTATGGAAGTAGGAAGAGGTGAGGTCATGGGCAAATTTACAAGTTTTGGATGACCCAAAATTTACATGCTAATGTTTCTATTATCTTTATCCCCAACAAATTAAACCATCAAGTCAGCCTAAAACCTCAACTGAGAGAGATTCTAGATCATTGCTGGAACTTCGACAACATTTCTGGCTATAGTCGAAGTCCAATTTCAAAATGTCCTCCCTCTGGGAGTTTTCAGAGGTGCAACACTATCTCAGGATAGAATATATTTGCAACCAATATTATCTCATAGAATCGTAGCTTAGGAATTTGAAGATTTTGTTATCTGTGGATATCTTAAGGAATTAAGTTTGAGAAAATAACATTTCTTTTTCTATTCATTTTGTGGTACGTGGGCATCGTTGGCTGGCCAGCATTTATTGCCCGTCCCTTGTTGCCCTTGAGAAGGCGGTGGTGAGCTGCCTTCTTGAACTGCTGCAGTCGTCCTGCTGTGGGTTGACCCACAATGCTTGTAGGGAGGGAATTCCAGGATTTTGACCCAGCGACAGTGAAGGAACGGCGATATATTTTGTGGACTTGCTTATGCTTGCTTATGAATATTTATTATAAGAATTAATTCTAAACTATATTATACAGCAACCTTTGTTTTAACTGACACCTTGTGAACCAGCACTCTTGATAAACCAGCAAAAATTATATACCTGAAATACCAGAAATTTACTGTATTATCGCAATCTCCGCGATGTCTGAGCAGTCAGTTGAGGGTGCAAGTGAGAAGGCTCTCCGCTCACAAGTTTTATTTAAGACAAAGTTGCACTAGTATTTAACGGTAGGTGCTTTTTTCTCTAGGATGAGGGATTTCAAGTCTGGAGGGCATATTTTTAAGGTGAGAGGAGAGAGATTTTAAAAAGACACGTGGGGCAAATTTTTTACACGGAGGTTGTCTCGTGTGTGGAATTAACATCCTGAGGAAGTGATGGATGCGGGCACAGTTACAATGTTTAAAAGTTACTTAGGTAAGTACATGAATAGGAAAAGTTGGGAGGGATATGGGCCAGGAGCAGGCAGGTGGAACTGGTTTAATTTGGGACTATGTTTGGCATGGACTGGTTGTACTGAAGAGTCTGTTTCCGTGCTGTATGACTTCATGACGCAAAGTGATTTATGCTGTACATAAAGTATAACAATGATGTGAATACCCCTTGTATTAGGTTTCTATTACTTATTGTGTGCTTTTACATTGGTTATGTGGATGTCTTAATCAACTAGCACACTCCTGATCCCGTGGGTGCCAATTAATAAAACGTTTGCTGTAGTAATGAATACTATACAGTTGAGTATATGGTAATTAAAGGTAGTCAATTCATTGACATATTTCATGGCTAATATCAGCAGAGTTGTCTACATGGTCAGTCTACATGACGTGGCAATTCTGTTTTAAATTGCATGCAATCTTTAAAGCCACCTGAAGAAACAAATATGTCAAGAAAATTATACTCGCAATCCAATATAATTTGTATAAGGACAAAATGTATTTGTCTCAACTTTCCTTTAAAGAGTTTGAGAGGAGAACCATAAGGACCTCAATCTGCTGTGCAGTCTACAAATGGCTACTCTGGTCTGCACGATGGAATTTTTATTTTATTCTCGCTTTAAAAACCTTTGTCCTGGTCTATGCGGCCCACCTAAAACAGGCTGCTATCGTTTATTATGAAATCTTATGAAAGACAGAATTCCTGATTGATGACAACACTCCTCTCTTTCAAGAGGTCTGGTTCAGTGTTAACAACCTCACAAGCACAAAACCTTTCCACACCTCTGTCTGTTCGCAATACTGTCCGAGAGCTTGATACTGGCAAAATTTCAAATTCTCATGTACTGCTTTAAATTTAACTGTTGAGATTAATTTTGTGATTTTCAGAGGGGAGAATGTGAGAGACCACACGGTCGAGAATGCATTCGGATAGTCAAGAGATAACAAAAGCACAAATTAAGCACAGAGAGCGTAAATTCAAGCAATCTTGCTGAGGTAGAGGGGGTATAATGTTCTGGCCTATTCACAGCTTTTCAATTTGATTAAAAATAATTTCCAATTTGATTAAAAATAACTTACTAACTATGATATGTGAACCACCGCTCAATAGTAATCTCAAAGTCTGGAAGTTTAGAGTTCATATCCCACCAACGTATTTCCGTACATAATCCTGACTGTAAGTTGCTTCGATATTGGAGCAGTAGTGCTCGGTCAGAGGGGACAACTGTTTGGACTTCAAACCACAGCCCTGTTTATCCTCTCAGGCAGGTGTAAAGGATCTTGTTTGACTGATTGTCTGATCATTTATCTCATGTTGTTTGTGGGGCCTGTCTATGTGCAAATTAGCTGCCACCCTCCCGCAGCGGCTACATCTTAAAAGTACTGTCCTGGCAGCAAAAAAAAATGTTTTGCAATGTCCTGAGGTTGTGAAAGGCACTATGCAAATGCAAATCTTTCATTTCTTATGTGGTGAAGACAGGAGCGCCCTAGAGTGAGCTTGGTGCAGATGAGAGCAAAGGAATGTGACATGCAGGTACAGATAGGTCTGAGATTACTACAGGACACTTCAGACTGATAGGACTCCAAAGGGGGGTTGCAAAGGGCTTGCAGGGAGGAAGAGTTAGGGGAGTCTCAGGGCAATGAGATCAGATTCGTGCACAGCAGAGTGGTAGGATTAGAACAGTGAGCTGAAGATGATAGAGATGATGAAAGGTGATGTTCAAAGGTGAAGAACAGTATGTGGGGATGGGTGAAATGGTGAGATGGCCAAATTCTCAAAAGTCAGATTGCTAGATCGTTTCTAGGAGAGTACAGAAAAAAGGCAGGTAAATGGAGTTCAAATACAGACCAGTCCTGATTTGGGTTAAACAGGCTCAAGAAGCCCGATGATCTACCCCTCATCTTAACTTTAGAAGCCTTGCTGCTGCATAACATATGAGGTTACTTACTGGAATTCAGGAAAACCCAGGAAAAGCTAAGGGGAGCAAGACCTCCACACACAAACCTAAAGAAATATTGAACTGAGCATGTTTACAGCCTGAGTTTGAACCTTCCTTCCTGAGCAGCTCAGTTCACATGGAATTCAGTTTGTGACTTGTCGAACTCAACACTGGTAACGTCAGGGAGTTGGGCTTGAAGGATACAGTTCCCAATCCTGATCGTCCTTTTCAACGAGAATGATATTCCCATCCTGTAGCTCTGGGTCAGAAATGAAGTTGACGTCACTGCGACGTCCTGACCCCTGCAAATCTCACTATGGTTGCTGTAAGGAAGCAGACTGGCTGCATGAACAGGAAGCTGTGGCTCACCATTGGGGCCTGGGTGGAATTTGACTTGATGCCAGTTGTTGCCACGGTCCTCGAACTTTGCTTCAGGCACACTGAAGTAGAATGGACTCTCAACAGGCGGTGCAGGCTTCAGCACAGGCGGTCGTGGGATCGTATACTCATATGTGACATGTGGCATCTTCCCATTGAGGTTGTAATACTGTTTTAGCGGAAAGAGAAATCATCAGAAAACCAAACAGCAACAAAAACAGCTCTGAATAACTTTGAGATAACAAGGTGCAGAGCTGGATGAACACAGCAGGCCAAGCAGCATCAGAGGAGCAGGAAGGCTGGCGTTTCGGGCCGAGACCCTTC